GAGCTCAATACTTCTCAGTATTGGATGACGTGGCTGCACCTTATTCGTCTTTGGACGGTAAGTTGTGTCCGGTATCCGCATAGTATAATCTATCCTAACTTAGCCATGACTACTAAACCAACCTAGGCTAGGCCTTAGCTTAGGTAGCTTTTACTGCAAGTGACCAATACTTGTGAAATTAGGATTTGCAGTTAATAAGACCTGTGATATGGGGTTTACACTCAACTAATAAATGCATTTCATTTTGCCTGGTGAACCAGCTTTGATTTTTGCTGCACAATGAAAGATCTCTTAGATCAACTACGGCTAAGTTTTGATAAGAGTATAAAGCAGATATAAATGCAAAAGGATGTGAGTAGTTCCGCCTGATTCGGTTTTCTGAAAAAAGCGCCATCATCATGACTTATTTAATAGCCTTGTTTAATGTGACCATAGAAATGTAAGTCAACATAAAGAAGAATCAGTCCCTCTCTTTTCTGAATTTGGCCATCTATTGGTCGATAATTTATTTTCCTGTGATATTGGTGAGATTTGATGAATATTTGGTGATGTTGAAGTAACAGAACCCACATGACTGCACATTGCTTTAAGTACTTCACCCACTACAGAACTGAACAGTCACCATTTCCTTGCACTTTGTTCCCTCACCTAATACTTAATCTATTCATTTATTGCATTTTCAATTGAATATGAATGTAGAATAGACTATAGCTTTTTCATGGCTGCAGCATTAGAAACACACGTGGAAATGTCAGTGCTACAAAATTCCTTCAAATCTTACATTTTCAGAAGCTAAATTGTATGCTTGAGAGCATTAACACATCATAAAGCTACTTTTCTTTAGTACACTTATAGCTGTTGCAAAAAGATTAAGGTTTTGTTTGGGACAGCTTTCTTAGTGCTTCTTAAAACAACTTTTTTGTATAAAAATTTTAATTTTTATATTAGAAAGTTGCTTTAAGAAGCACTAAAAAAGCTGTCACAAACGAAGCCTAAGACTAATATATGGATTTGCTTGAAATCTGGTCGAACATAAATAATCCCAAATTTTTTCAACAAATAGAAAATTTCTAAGCTTTGTATATATTTTTAATAGGTGGCCCAAATGGCCTGCATAGCCTCGTATATATCTTCCATTAGCTTCACCACTATTCTACAATTGCTTGCCTTCTTCATGCCTCTTCCATTTCAAGTTCAGTTTCAAGTGATGCTTGGAGATGGAAAAATATATGCAACAGTACTTCTTCATCTCCTCCTCCTCCCTTTGTCTAATATCATCGTCGTTCTTTGTTTCTGGAGGCTGTGGGATTCTTTGTGTTTGGTTTTCTGGTACCGTGCAGTACTTGAAGATAATGAAGAATTTAAACATTTCCTCTAAGAAAAGGACTTCAAAGCTAGTGGATTTGTTTTGCAGTTGGTGCTATCTTTGCTGAGCTCTTCTCTTCTCTTCACTGTTTCTTTCATTTTTTTTTTTTTCACTTTATCTTTTATTATCCTACTTTCTTGACCTTGCAAGACTTGTATAGATGGATGTGTTGATCGTTATCATCCTTTACTCCATCTTCATTTGCTACTCCCAAGTTCGCTCTTCTGAATCTTTCCATCTTCTTTTTCCCCATCTATCCCTCCAGAGCTTATGATTTTAGAAATTACACTTGTGTTGTTATTTTCAAATTTGATAATCTTGTTGTATTTCAACTTCCTGTTTTGATGAAGTCACTCATACAAAGATGTGCTGAAACTTGTCATGTTTTACAATGCTTTTTTACAATGTATAAATTTATTTCACAGTTCTATATTTTCATCTTCTTGATAATGATTATCTCATTCTTTGCTGCTACTCAATGAATTACATGGCAAATTAAAGTTGCAGAATGGTTTGTTGTTTTATATATATTTTTTTTCTAGAATTTCTGCAGTGTAAAATGTAGAAATTTGCAGTGAAACCAATCGATAAAGCAAATACTTAAATGTTATGTTTACATGAAGCACAAAGTTTAAACTTTAGGGGCTAATAGCCTCTTCAAGAGGAGAAGGAGACTCTCATTCAAGTACTGTGCGTTCAAGTGCACCCATTTGTTGTGCACACTTATAGATTTTACTTGGGATTTAGTTATTCCTGCTTGAAAGATTTCTTTTTTAATCAACATTGTGTTCACAACAAATTTGAAGTTTAATTCATTCAAGTCCTACATAAGACAAGCCTTAGCAACTTCTACATTTTTATTAAAGGCCTCTAACTTTTCCTTACTATGGGAATGCAACCCATTGTATAGATACTCCTTGATTATAAGTTTGAGAACCACTATAGAGCCACCCAATCAAGCATCTTGATGAAGGAATTGATGAATTAAATTTCAGGTGTATTAGAAAACTACCGCATCAAATATTGCTATGTGTTCCTTTAGGTTGGAGACACCTTTAGTCCAGATTTCGGAAATTCTGAGGAGCCTAAATCATGAAAACTGTTCGGTAACATTCATAATAAATCTTACTAATGAGCGGACTCTTTCCTCTTGAGCCAATGGATTTCATAAATCTGGCAAAAAATGGGATTTCAGAAATTCAGGATTTAGCACGAAAAGGAGGAATTTTTCGACTACGGTGGCTTTCATTTGCCGTGAGATTTGGTTTTGCATTTTAGGCCGTTTGGCTGCTCAAATCCGCCTCAAATCTGGCATAAATCCTGCCGCCAAACAGCCCCTTAAAATGTTGAAAGCAAAGGGTATTTGAATGTTAGAGAAAGTGGTTTAACCAAGCTTTCAAGGTAAGGGTTGGGGAAGAGTGATCCCCCTTCACATATTTTCTTACTTTCTTCCAATGATACTTCAAGACTTGGGTTGGACAAGAATATATAAATACGCAAATAACAAAAGGATGTGAGTATATTCTGATTTCTAAAAATAAGCCATCATATTGTCTTACTTAGTATTCATTTGGGACAGCTTTTTTCCTGCTTCTTAAAACGACTTTCTAGCTAAAAAATTGTTTTAAGAAGCAATAAGAAAGCCATCCAAACCAAGCCTAAGTTTCTTTTGGGACGGTTTTCTTTCTACTTCTTAAAACAGTTTTCTAGTACAAAAATTTTTAGTTTTCTATTAAAAATTTGCTTTAAGAAGAACAAAGAAAATCGTTCCAAACGAAGCCTTAATCTCCCTGTTTCCACATCTAAAGAAGAATCAGCCTCTCCCTTTTCTGTGTTTGGCCATCCATTGGTTAGATAATTTATTTTGCTGTGATATTGCTGAAATTTACTGAATATTTTGCGATGTTGAAGTTGCAGAAACCCATAGCAACTCAACAGAACTGCACACTGCTTTAAGTACTTCAACCACTTAGGAACTGAGCAGTCACCATTTCCTTGCGCTAATAGTTAATATATTCATTTATTACATTACCAATTGCATTTATTACATAACCCATTTTTATATTTAAAAAATAAGTTACAATTTCATGATATTAACTTGCTCTTATAATACATGAAAGTATTTCTGTCCAAATAGTTTGGAAGAGAAGAGAATATAAACTATAACAAAATTAATTTTGTACTCAACATAAAGTATTAAAAAAAATAATTTTTTAGTATAAAAAAAATTTGAACTAAAATTTTGTGTACTAAAAATTAAAAATGTTCTTTATAAAGAAATAATAAAATTGTCCCAAAAGAAATCTTCTTTATTTGAGATATTTTTTTATTGTTTTTTAAAATAAATTTTTAGTAGTTCTAAAAAATTTTATGCTATAAAAATTTTTGTATTTAGAAGCTAATTTATAAAATTGGGTTTATTAATAGCAAGTAAGATTTCGAAAATTCTCTAAATTCGGGTTTACTAAATATTGAGAGGGTTAAATCCTAAAAACTGATTGGTAAGAAATTTGTTAAATCTTAACAAATCATATGAGACTATTTGTCAATACTATTTAGGATTTAAAGTGATTAACTCATATGACATTTGTGTTTTAAATATGAGTTACTTATTATTTTTATTTTAATTAATATTAATAAATTGTAATCATGAATACTATAATTACGGCTTATTTTAATAAGTATATCAATGCTAATTATAATGATATTTATCCAATTAAATATTTAATTTTAATTTAAAGTAATTAATCATTTAATTACTATTTACACTTATTATTTCATTAAATTTTATATATAATTTTAATTACTAATTATACTTATAATTATCAAGTTAATCGATTAAATATTTTATTAATAGATAATTATTTAATTAATATTTACACTATAAATAATCGTATTATGTATTTATATTTTAAACTATATCAAATAAGCTAATTAAATTAATGTCTTATAAAGAAATTAAGAATTAATGTAATGCTCTCATAGGCAGGCTAGCTTTCCTTAGGGGTGTCAAAATTTGACCGAGTTGAAACCCAACCAAAATCCGATCGAGAAAATTATGGGTTCGGGTCAACTCGTTTGCCATATGGGTCGAGTTCAAGTTTGACATTTGGACATGTTTTTAAAATCAGGTTGAGTTGACCTGGCAACCCAAAAATTTGACCCCGCTTCACTGCTCTAGTCAGCTCGACCCCACCAGTCCTCCCTCCACGTGCATGCCTCAGCCTCACAGTCACACCTGCGGCCCTGCACGGGTTGCACATGCGCTAGCGCTGGCCTCGCTCGGACTGACGTTTGGTCGCCCTGCATGCTGGCGGTTGGCCTCGCTGGCTCTCACACCTGCTCACAGAGGTCAAGCCGGTCCTCGCAGACCTCGCCCGACGGGCTAAGTTGCCCTGTGCTAGCCTCTTGATCCTCTCCTTACACGTTGGCTTCGCCCAACACGTTGACTTTACCTAACACGCTAGCTTCACCCCAGATGGAATCTACAGATGCTTGCAAGCTAGGTTCTCATTTTGTAAATGGGGCGTGGGGTCGGGGTCGGGTCCGGTTGAAAATCTTGACCCGTTTGTAAAATCAGGTCAGATTTGAGTTAGAACCGTTTAGACAAGTCAAATCGGGTTCGACCCCAAAGATTTGTTTTGGCACCCAAGCTTTCCCTCTTCGGTTTCTTCGTTGCCGTTCGCGTGAGGTAGAGCTCCTAGGCTTCGCTGGTTTGCGTAGGGTAGAGATTCGAACAAGTCGCTTGCCATTGCCTGTCTAGGGTTCGCTTTTCCTGTTCTGCATTGATTTGCTGCTGTTCTGCTTCGCGTGAAGTAGAGTTCTGAAAGAGTCGAAACTTCTCTGCCTCCTCCTCCGACTTTGTTACTGTCGGATCGGAAGTCGCGCCGGGAGCTCGCCGCTAAGGTAACGATATTTCCCCCCTTCAACGCAATTCCTCAGTCGGGATTTTTTTCCTGGCGCCAAGAATGCGTTAAACCGCCTCACCAAAGGATTTCGTAAATCCGGGATTTACCACGAGAAGGGGGAATTTTCCGTCGACCGCTGCTTATGTTTTTTTTTTTTTTTTTTTTTTTTTTTTTTTTTTTTTTGCGTTTGGTAGGATTTAGATCAAATCTTGCCGAAATCCTGCATCCTAACAGGCTCCTAGTATTTTTATACTCTTCAGCTCTTCAAAGCCCTAGGAAGCTAAGCTTCAAAATTACTTCTACGTCATCTCCGTATCTTATATCTCCAATGGAGATCAATCTAGGGAAATTGCCATTTGACCTCGATTTCCATCCTTCGAGTCCGCTTGTCGCAGCGGCGCTCATAAGTGGCGATCTCTACTTGTAAGCAGCAAACCCTCGGTTGTCCTGTACTCAAATTAGTGTTTATAGTTGTTTAAAATCTTATTCAATTCATTTCAACAGGTACCGTTATGGCGCCGATTCGCAACCGGAAAGGTATTGCCGAAAACAAGTGATTTGATTTGTCAGCAAGCTTCTACTATTTTTCCAATATCAGTCATTATAAAACTATTCATTCCAAAGTTATTTTAGGTTGTTGCAGGTTTCAGCGCACGAGGAGTCCTGTAGAGCTGTTCGGTTTGTTGATTCGGGCCGGGGTAATTGTTTATATCTTACCTGTTTTTTTTTTTTTCTGGTTGGTAGTTTTAGAAGTTGCATATTGTATGATCTTTGTTTCTTTTCAGCGGTTTTGACGGCTTCTCCTGATTGCTCAATTCTTGCAACTGATGTGGAGACTGGCAGGGCCATTGCTCGTTTGGAAGAAGCTCACGAGTAAGCTGACTAACTCTGCATATATGGGTGTTTAAATACTTTGGTATTAACATAAATTTGTAAAGATAGTAAGGATCTAAGTTTGTGTGCCTTTTCTTTTGATTAAAGGAATTCAATTAATCGTCTCGTCAACTTGACTGAAACAACAATAGCATCAGGAGATGATGAAGGATGCATTAAGGTGCACTTCCTTGCCGCAACAATCATGCCAATCTTTGTGGTTACTTACACTCTAGAAATGCATAGAACTTTTGTTTATTTAGCATCTTTTTGTTTAGGAAGGGCGGAAATCGAAGTTGTAATAATTGACATGATTGATTCTAGAGATGTCATATGATCTATTGATTTTTTTGAGCTGTTCAACTTGATATCACTGAATACCTCGTATGCTTCATATGCTTTATTACTGATACTATTGTTGGCAAATCGGGATTTGTTATTTATTTTGACTAGAAAACAATTACATGGAGAAAATTCTATTTCTGATAACCTTTTCAATGTTGAGTTCAGAATTATTTCAAATGGAACTTGATACAGGACCACTTAGATGACATGCTTATGGCTTCATTTTAGGCATTGCGTAACTCTTTGATTAGAATAATTTTGGATTGAAATTATTAACAATTCTCAACATCGACTAAAACAAATAAAGAGATGCTGTGCGTAGGCTATATCACATGCTCCGAGCTTTGATATTTTCAAGATAAATAAGACAATTGAAACAATGCAAAATAGTAGTCTTCAATTTAATCCCTAATCTAACAACAAGATTTAGGATGCAAAGAAAGTACACTCAATAACCTACGAATTACTAAGCTTAGCAAGAGCACTTGGAGGAGACTTTCGCGATTACAATCTAACCAATTAAGAATTTAGATTCAGAAGAATTTGAATGCAAGTGAAAAAGAGAAAACCTTTGCTAATGAGAGGTGGCGGTCCTCCACTCGATGCCTTCGAAGTCTTCGTCCATGGCTTCCGTCAAAGCAAATAAGAGGCGTCTCTTGAATAGTCACAAAGAGAAAGAAGTTTCCATTGATAGAAAGAGGATGCAAGCTCCACACCTTTTCTCATAAAATCTGAAAACAGTTTCAGATTTTCAACCAGGGAAATCTGAGAGGATTTCTCAGATTTTATTGGGCTAGGATGTAGAGAACTTGGAGGAGAGCCTAGCCTTAGCTGTGACTAGAGAGATGAGAGCAAACCTCCTTTACAGGTTTTGGAAGAGAGGATTTATTCCATGCAATCAGGAAAGATGAGGGGCGGTGGGGAGAGGGATTTGGCGGGCTAGAGGGGGAGTGGGGCCTTGTTTCCTAAATCAAAATTCTAGTATTAGGAAATAATTAAACCAAGGCAGGAAGGAAAATTCAGCCATGAAAGAGGGGGATGGGTGTAGGAGGCGGTAATGCAGAAAAGAGAAACGGGAGGAATTAATTTATTTCCAAAAGTGAAATTATCTCTCAGGAAATAAATTAATTCAATACAGGTGAGGGGAATTTCGGTCAAACAGGAATTAAAGTGATTTCAAATTATTTCCTAAGTATGGTGTGAGCAAGGGCGGAACTCTACATAACCTAGGGGGGGCAATTGCCCCCCCTCAAAAATTTTTTTTTAACTTAAAGGAGAGTAAAAAATTCATTTTGCCCCTCCTAAAAAATCAATTTTGCCCCCCTAAATAGCTTTTTTGTCCCTACTTGTCATTGCTTAATTCATCTCAATCATACATTGCATTTTTTACTTTATCTTCTCCCAATGTATCTATATTCTATATTTTTTAATTGCTATGACAATAGGTAGTAATGAAGGCTCATTTTTCTATGCAATAAATTTATTTTAGAAATACCTTTTGAAAGTGAGTTAATTAGTGCACAAAAAATCTCTAGAACTTGATTAAGAATATCAATTATATATTTTTGTTTCATGTTCTTGCAATTTTTTTTTCTTTTTTTTGTAGCTAAAAATGAAGATGTTGACAGACATTTAGTTTGGATTTGGAAGCTAAATTTTTTTTTTAGATCAAATATAAAGCTAAAAAATTTTAAAACAACTTTTCATAATATTATATATAATATTTTTAATATTTAATTATTTAATTATTTTTATTTTTTATTTAATTATTAAATCAAATACTTTCCTAAAATAGAATACTTAATTTAGGAAATAATTTGAATTCAAATTTGGATGAATTTGAATTTCAAATTAATCCCAATTAATCCCAACCCAATTAAGAAACAAAATAAAAGAGGCAAGGGGATGAGTGGGCCGGTGGCTATGGCCTTGGCCGGCGGCAAGGGGATTGGGGATACTTGGCCGTGGAGTTTGGAAGGGGAGGGGAATCGGGTGAGGTGGCCGGTGGTTTGTGGTGGTGGAGGGTGGGGAAGTTCGACGAGGGGACGATGACAAAGATAAAGAAGAAAACCATGAACCCGGCCGTCTCCAAGGTTGGTGGGTGATATGCCAATCTCCCTCTCCAAGGGATCTCTCCAAAGCTCTCCAAGAACTCTCAAAGGCTCTCAAACACAAGTGCAGGAAAAATTCTTAATAATCATTCATTAACTCAAAACAAAGGAAATGAGACTATAAATAGTCGGGTACAAAGACTCAAGAAAATAAAAGATCAACTTGCCCTTTGGGCTTACATGCGACCACTCCCATGAAAGGGGTACAAAGGGAAATAATAACGACACCTAAGCAAATAAGAAAATGTATAAATAAAATAAAATACAATCATGACTCAGAAATACAAGGACTCGATCGTGGCCGTAGATCGGAGGCCACGTCTCTAATAAACCTTCCACTCTGATCTGATGTCCCCATCAGAACTCTTGTGCTGTGCAAACTTTACTTGTTTTACTGAAATTTGAAGAAGAGTTTAAAGGGATGGTTTGGAATGAAATAAAGTCATTTTACTTCTTGTCCAGGAGAGCAATCTGCATGTTGTCACCATCTCATCGTCATTTGCTCTTTAATCCAGTAAAGTATTATGATACTATAATAATTGACTTTATATAGCATTATGGAATATAGTGCTGTGAGATGGACCTAATGTTCTTTTTTTTTTTGCATTGATTATTCCTTATTTCTTTTCAGGTCTGGGATACTCGTCATCGTTCTTGTTGCAATTCATTTGATGCCCATGAGGATTTTGTCTCAGATATGACATTTGTATCTGGTACAAAGCAACTTCTTGCAACAAGGTTGTTTTTCTATCTTTAGTATCAACAATTTACAGTACTCCAAAATGCCAATATTTCATTTATATTTATGAATTCTCAACCTTTTTTTTTTTGTTATTGAAGATGTGTGGGTGGGTGGGCCGGTGGGGTGGGCAGAGAAGAGATTAGGATTAAGAGGGGAAAGCAAATGAGTTGATTAATAAACCTTTTTCTTTGTTATTAATATTAATTAAAGATTAATGAATAATGTTTCTATGTGGATGATCTGATGAAAAAAAAAAATCTCTCATAATGAGTTTGAATCAATAGCAACATCCTATGCATAGTTAGGGAGTGAGATGGAGAGCATATAGATTCATACAGTGTGGTCTGTTATTTTGTGAGTAACTAATTTGGCTCACAATGTATGCTAGTATTTCTATATTCCAATGTTCATAACTTTTTTTTTCTCAATGTGCTGATTGCTTGTAAATTGTAATCTTTACACCTAGTGCATGTGTATTTTGGTGAATTATTATTGGACAATTTTTATCGCCAAATGCTTATTTATGATTTTATATTTATGAAACAATGAAAAGTGTTGCATTCTAGGATGAAAAAATTAGTAGTCTTAGTGTTCATTGTACTTTCTTTTTCATTATTATTATTTTTTCGTGTGTGATTGAATTACTTTTCATATATTCAACTGTTTAAGCATTTATATCTAAATAGTTGTGATCCTTTGTTTTAGGTATATTTTGCCTGACAGCTTTAAAGCTGTAATATATTGTTTTTATTTATACATGATTATAATTTTTAATTTTATACCTTTTGGCAGTGGCGATGGGTCACTCTCTGTGTGCAGTCTTCGAAAAAATAAGGTTCCATTAAAATCTCTATTTTGCTATAACGGGACTGTTGTTAGTCATTTGTTTGGGAGATATTATGCACTCAACACACATTGCCTTTATGCTAATGTATCAGGTACAGGCCCGCTCGGAATTTTCAGAAGATGAACTCCTTTCTTTGGTGATAATGAAGGTAGAATAACCATTTTTTTCGTTCAATGTTCATATAGTTCGTAGAATGCATTGGATCACAATAGTTTGCTTATTTGAAATAATTTGCATAATATGAAATACTGGTTATTATTTCCTTCAAGCATGCCATTATTACCAGGTGTATATTAGAGCTTATAATTGAAGATCAGAAGAATATGGGCTTGTTTTTATATATAAATTTGGTGAAATATTGAAAAATCCTGAATTTGATATGAATGATTAGTGATCTCATCATTTTCTTTATCTTGTGTATGTTAATATATGTGGATACATAGAGACATAGAGTAGACAAAATAAGTGTGCTGTTGGTGGATTAAATAAGTTACTAAATTATGATTGATATTTTCTTCCCATCTTGTTTAGCATATCCTTGTAGCTTTTGAAGCATATATAGGGACACAGGAAGTGAACCTGGGCTCAAAATATTATGCCATTGAAAATCCTTCAAATTTTTTTACCCAATTTGCTCAGGACGTATGATTTTTTTCATATGCATATGCTTCACTTTGATGAGGACATCCACCGTTCAGTTCGACATCGGCGGGATCGTAGATTGACGGCTACGATTCATTGTTTTATTTAGGTGTTTTAGTGCATTTATTTTATTTATTTTTTCAGTTTTCCATTTGTACCCCTATGAGGGATTTGTGTCATGTTGTAGCCTGAGGGGCTGTTTGGCAACAAGTGGGATTTAACTTTAGTGGGATTTAATAAATCCTGTAAATCCGGATTTAGTAAATTCGAAATGTGTTAAATCCTAAAAACTGTTTGATATGTTAAATGTTAAATCTTGTTAAATCCTGAGAAACTGTTTGGTAACATATATCAAGATTTATGGCGGTTAGGGATTTAAGTTTAAAGGAGATATTTATGAAATTAAGATCATTGCATAAAACATAATAAAACCAATTTTAGGTCATATAAAATGACCGAAAATTCAATACAAAGTTAATTACAAACTAACATGGACCAAAATGAGAGTTTAAATATTAAATAAGCTAATTATATTAATATTTAATTACTAATTATATCATTAATTAATCAATTAAGTTAAATTAGATAATTAATTTATGCACTAATTCTACTATTAATTATTTAATTAATTAACTTAATTATTATTTCAAGATCTCTTTGTGAGTTCTTGAGGAGGTGGTACTTGAGGATTTCTTTGTGAGTTCTAGTGGAGGTGGTACTTGAGGTTTGTAGTTCTAGATTTTCCCTTTCCCCTACACCTATCTTCCTCTTCCCTACCTAACCGAAGCCTCACCACCCTCCCAATTCCCCACCGGCCCCCATAGCTTCACCGCCGGCCCCTCCTGGCCGATCCAGCCACCGGCGGCTCACCCAACTCCCACGGCCGGCTGCCAGCCCGCCAGTTCCAGCCCGCCGCCCCCCTTGCCTCCAACCTTGCCGCCGGCTCCCCTTTGACCTTTTTTTTTTTTGAATTTCAAATTCCTCTTGATTAAATTATTCCTAATTAGTCTTTCTCTATTCAGGAAAGTCAATTAAGGGAATTTAAACCTATTTTGAAATTCAAACCCTTTTCCCTCTCATATTAAACCAAATTGGGAAGTTATTTTAAATTTAATCAAATCAGAAATTAAAATCAGATTTGATTAGAATTTATTTATTAACCCATGGGCCCCACTTACTTAAATCCCAAGCCCCTCTCTCCTCCCTATATGGCCGGCCACCCCACCCTCTCTCTCTCCCATTAATACACTATTAATCCCCCTTCCCTCCTAGCCTATTTCAAATTTAAAATTCTGAATTTGAAATTAATCCTCTCTTTATTTGGAAACTTGAAATTAAATTCAGGATTATTCCCTCCCTCCACCTATTCCACCCGCCCCTAGTCATCCTCACCCGAGCCCCAACCCATCCACCCTCACGGCCCACTTCCTCCCTCTCCCTCTAGCTCACGGTCAATCCCCTTCCCTCCCCAAACCGCCATTTCCACCTCTCCTCTCCCACTTGTCTCCATCGGTGCTCCTTCATTTCCCGACAAGGATGCATGACGGTTCCAGAAGTTGATCACGGATTCGTTTACGATTTTCAAGAGGAAGTTGACATCATTCAATCATCGTTCTTCGATCCCGGATTTGGGTCCGAAGGCACCGTCGAATAATACGTGGAGCGTATTCTCTTTACCTTGGCGGACGTCATCAAAGAGCAACAACCTACAGGATTGTGGAAGATTGCAGGACGACCACCTGTCTCTCCAACTCTGGCCAACTCTCTGTGGATCAAAACCTCTGGCATCCTCTGTCTTGCAGTGGCATCACTAGGCTTGCTTACTTTTGTCCTCCGCTAAACCTACTTCCAAAGAACGATCGAGAGGGAAACTCTAAGGTGAAAGTTCTAATTGTTAAGTAGTGGATTATTTTTAATCGCATATTTGTTTATTATTTTCTTGTCATTATTTCAGATCACTCTGTTAATCTAATGTGTAACCGCATGCTAGAAGCAAGTTAATAACTACAAAAACTGAAAATCCTAACGTAGTGAATCATTAATGTTATAATTTCATTGCGGAAACAAATTTCTTGATAAGATCCTGCAATTCCGTTGGCTGTTTCACATCATTTTTTGGTATCAGAGCATGGTTAGCATGTATTGCATGTGCTAGAAGTTCCTAGGGGTCTAGATTAACCTTTTCTTAAGCTTGTTTGCCTGCATACCATCGCACAGTAATTCTTATTCACTGTTTTGCTTGCTGCCTTCTAAATTCCTGCACCATTTACATCACTTTAATTAAGTCTATGTCATTGTTTAAGTGCTGTTCTTATCACCATAACATCCCTAGTTGTCTAGGCTACTTAACCAATCATTATGACTTGTTGTCCAGAAAATTTCTGCAGCATTTAGAGAACTTTTGGTGACCCAAACCTAGTGTTTAAGTGCTGTCCGCTTCCCAAAACCCATACCCATAGGCATCTTCACCAACTGCTGTGGTTTGCTTTCCACATTTTTAGTGCACCTTCTAGTGACAATTTGGAGAGTCTAGCTTCGCTTTAGGTGTTGTCCCAATTATAGATTCATCCCTAAGTGTTTACAAGTGCTTTCCCAATGGACCCGATAATACTTCAAAAGAAGTTAGATGACATCCTTAACCTAGTGGGCTCTATGACTAGAATTATGATGGAGAATCTTGTTCTCTCTCCACTCTAAGTATGTGCCCCATTCGATCAATCTTGCTAGTCGAAAGATGCCCACTCGACTTATCAACCTAGATCTGAGCCTAAGCCTCAACAACCTCACTTAGAGCCACCTTACCGTCTACCCACCTTTGATGGTTCCTCGGACCCTTACTATTTGAGGGAATGGGTTAGACAACTAGAGAACTATTTTGAATCACGTCATATCCCTGAGTCCCACCAGATTAGTATCGCTAAGTCTCACCTCAAAGGTCAGCCTCTTCAATTTTGGACGAGGTTAGAAGATCATAATAAGTCTCGCGGTGAGTAACCTACCTCTAATTGGAAAGACATGAGGCGAGAACTTAATTTAAAATATCGACCCTCTACCAGTGACCAACCAACTGGTTTTAAGCTTAGGTCACCCCTGTTCATCAAACCTTTGGATGCTGCACTTTCAAGGCCCCTACCCCTAGTGACCGTCATCTAGAGCCCCACCCTACCTCTTTTGTTGGGACGAACCGTTGACATTATTGTGGTCGAGACCACCTTTCCTTTAGTAACATCAGGAATGCTACCCCACCCCGTAGGTTTTCTCCTAGCCTTGATGGCCGACCCTTTATTGGGTCTTCTATTGGATCGGTCCCATATAACTCCCCACTTGGGCCGACTCCTAGCCATCCCAGTCAACCTTTAGCCTCTGATGCATTCAATATTTTTAGTTTATTTTTGTTTTATTGTATTTTGAACAATATTAGTTGTGTTTTATGTTTTTTTTAAGCTATCCTATGATGGTTGGGCATCCAATGATCATGGTAGGAATGTGCTAGGCATGACAAGTCTTGGGTTTGCTTGCTCTTGGGTCTATTTTGTCATTGGGCTGTTTGTTAATTTCGGTTTGGTGAGGTTGCTGCTCTCGGGTGGGCCTTGGTTGCTTGGTTTTGAGCTCAAAATTCTGGATTCTACTTGGTGTTAGCTCATAAATGTTTGAGCTGAAGTTTACCTTAATGATTGAGGATTAAATGCAATTCCTAGCTCATTAAATAAAAAAGGTATGCTTTTATTTCAAGCTAATTATTGAGGAGTTTATTGGAGTGGACTTGTGCCTCTTCCCCTCCCTTTGCCTTATCGGTTTTCCCTTGCTGGCTGGTTTCCCGTGACCTGCCTCTTTGTCTCATGTTCTAGCTTTTCGGGTCCCTTGCTGGCTGGTTTCCCGTGACCTATTGCTTTGTCTCCTGTGCTGGCTTTTCGGGGTCCCTTGCTGGCTGATTTCCCGTGGCTGTTTGGGGGGAATTCCGTGGACTTTTTTCCTGTTTTCTGTGCAGATTTCCTGCTGTTGTTTTGCTGTCTTTTGGCATTCTATTTGGTGACTTTTGGCATTTCATTTCCCTAATTCTAATTGGATTTGGTTGGAGGTGTTATGGCCGTTTGTCTACCTTTTTTCGCCTATAAAGATGAGTTGTTTTGGGATGGAAAAGGTTGTTGAAAATTATGAGCAAAGTCTCTACAAAAACCTGAGGGTTTCTTCTCTTGGAAAAACTTGTGAGCTTGTTCCACCCCCTTTCCTCCTCTCTATTTCATATTGACTTCTAACCTCTTCTTCTCTACGCAAGTTTCACTCCACCTGTATCCTTCTTCTTGAGCTTTGGAAGTGTATGTTGGCTGAAATTTGGAGACATTTGCTGGAGGAGTTTGGTAGGACGTTGGGCTCTTTTGTAGTGGTGGACCCTCGGTTTGCAAGGCTAAGCACAATTTTATTATATATTCCTACTCTCATTGCATGTGAGGAGACTGCTAGACGGTTTTACTGAGAATAGCGTTTTATGGTTTTTATTTTGTTTCGTTCGATTTGGTTTTTTGTTTTTTCGAAGTTTGTTTGGTTGTTTGCAACCTACATTTGAACCGAGTTTGGTTTCAGTTTTGTCCTGGTATTCTCCAATTTGTCTCTTTACTCTATTTTTGCACGCATCAAATTGGTATCAGAGCGAGTTAGGAAATTCTTGGTTTGTGTGTCCCTTGTTTCTTTTAAGTTCTAATATGGCTAACTCGGGGGAATGGCAAAATGTAATGCAACAATTAGCGGATTTGCAAAATCAGATGAATGAAATGGCTAATATCCTTGCTAATCTTAATGTTATTGAGAACGAGGATTTCTTTGAGGATAAAACTGAACTGAGTGATTTAGACTCCCTGCATAACTTAAACCCTGAGTTAGGAGATTTAGAACCTATAGACATTGATACCTTAGCCCTTCCTGATCCTAGTCTCCTCAAGGATACCCCTTTGGATAAGGTCTGCTTGGATGATATTACGTTGATCTCGAAAGAAATTGATTTGACCTTGAATACATTGAAATTAAATTCGGATGATTCTAATTTAATCATATCTCCTACTGAGATGACTCCGAAATAAGTCTGATTTAATTTCGAATAATTCTGATGGTGACGAGGATAATCTTGAGTTAAAAGTGGTTCAGCTGAATTTATTACCTGATTTAACTCCCGATTTAATTGACCCTAAATCCACTTATCCTGATTCTATTGAGAATTGTACTATGAGTTCGGAAGATAGTGATTTGAGTCTGAAAGTTTATGAGCCTAATTTGAATAATGAGTCTCATCTTGTTTTATTGGAGTCTATTTTAGGAGTTGCTCATATATATTTACTTTTTAACGAGTGTGTCTTTCTTGATTGGACTTACCTCTCCATTCCTCGTACCGACATTAATGTTAAAGAGAATTTTAGCCCATACTCTCATTTGACATCTCTCTAACTGTTGTCCCCACATCTGTTTTGGACACTCTACCCCATCTTTTGATTCCCATACCTGTTGGTGACTTTTTGGGCTATCCCATTATGGCTGTGAGTCAGGACTCATCACCTTATCTTATTCCTGATTCATTCGTTTTGCCCGCTATATTCTTGTCCTTCTCTTTTAATGACCATCTCTCTCCTAGTTGGATGAATTTGCTAGATTACACTGTTACCCCTAGGAGACTACGTACGACCCTGACTGAAGTTACCTATAGAAATGCCCTAGTAGCTAAGGATGACTTCATTTCTCTCCCACACAAGTTCCCTTAGACCTGAACACTTTAGATCCCCTCATTTGGTGACTAATCTATATTTATCTGTGTGCTTGTGATTCTGTATGTTTGTGTCTTTTTTCTATCGAAATTGTCTCGGTTTATAACTTTGTGTGAACCCACAATTCTTGTCATTCATCATGCATACCGGGTCTCTTGCATCCACATCTGCATCTCATCTTTAGGAATTGCAAAAAGAGATTAATAAGAAAATTGAGTTAAGTAATGGTAATTATAAGCTTAATGCGGATCCTAAGTAAAGATTTAAATAATTCGAAGTTAGTGATTTTGTTATGGTACGGACTCGTCCGGAGCGGTTCCCATAAGGAACTATTAAAAAAGTTACATGTTAGAGGCGCAGGCCTGTTCAAAATAATATCCAAGAAAAATAGTAACGCTTATATTTCATACCTTTTCGAAGGTTTCTACTTTAATCCTACAGTTAACATCGAAGATCTAGTAGCCTTGAGGGACCAGAGTTTAACCCTGCAAATATAATAAACATTGAGCCTTGTGTGACCATACCTAGTTAGATCCCTAGCCTAACTTCACTCCCCAAAATTTCCTACTTTACCTAATGCGGAGGAGATGGAAGCAATACTTAGTGATGAAATCATCTCCACTAAAGATAGTGGGAGCCAAAGGTACTTGGTCCAATGGAGAGGGAAAACCGGAGGCGGAGAGCACGTGGATGGATCGCGAGGAGATACAGAGATTGGACCCCGACCTACTGGAGCTATAGGAGAGTCACGGGATACTTACTCGATGGGGTCGAGCTTTCTCCCACCCGGGGAGAATGATGAGGACATCCACTGTACATTTCGACATCGGCGGGATCGTAGATCAATGACTATGATTCATAGTTTTATTTAGGTGTTTTAGTGCATTTCTTTTATTTATTTTTGAGTTTTCCATTTGCACCCCTATGATGGATTTGTGTCATGTTGTAGCCTGAAGACATTTGTGTCTTTTATATTTTGTGCTTTGGAGGCCTATATATGAAGGCCTAGTCTTTGTATTCTTGGCTAATAATATTGATGAATGAAATTTTCTATTGTTGATCTCTTTGTGAGTTCTTAAAATTTTCCAAGATCTCTTTTTGAGTTCTTGAGGAGGTGGTACTTGAGGATCTTTTTGTGAGTTCTAGTGGAGGTGGTACTTGAGGTTTGTAGCTCTAGATTTTCCCTTTCCCCTACACCTATCTTTTAAAATCAGATTTGATTAGAATTTATTTATTAACCCATGGGCCCCACTTACTTAAATCCCAAGCCCCTCTCTCCTCCCTATATGGCCGGCCACCCCACCCTCTCTCTCCCTCTCCCATTAATCACCCTTCCCTCCTAGCCTAATTTTAAATTTAAAATTCTGAATTTGAAATTAATCCTCTCTTTATTTGGAAACCTGAAATTAAATTCAGGATTATTCCCTCCCTCCACCTATTCCACTCGCCCCTAGTCATCCTCACCTGAGCCCCAACCCGTCCACCCTCACGGCCCACTTCCTCCCTCTCACTCTAGCTCACAGCCAAGCCCCTCCCCTCCCCAAACGGCAACTTCCACCTCTCCTCTCCCACTTGTCTCCATTGATGCTCCTTCATCTCCCGACAATAATGCATAGTGGATCCAGAAGTTGATCACGAATTCGTTTACAATTCTCAAGAGGAAGTCGACATCATTCAATCACCGTTCTTCGATCCCGGATTTGGGTCCGAAGGCACCATCGAAGAATACGTGGAGCGTATTCTCTTTACCTTTGCAGACGTCATCGAAGAGCAACAACCTACAGGATCGCGGAAGATTGCAGGATGACCACCTGTCTCTCCTACTCCGGCCAACTCTCCGTTGATCAAAACCTCTGGCATCCTGTCCTGCAGTGGCATCACTGGGCTTGCTTACTTTTATCCTCCGCTAAACCTACTTCCAAAGAACGATCGAGAGGGAAACTGTAAGGTGAAAGTTCTAATTGTTAAGTAGTGGATTATTGTTAATCACATATTTGTTTACTATTTTCTTGTCATTATTTCGGATCACTCTTTAATCTAACGTGTAACCGTATGCTAGAAGCAAGTCAATAACTACGAAAACCGAAAATCCTAACTTAGTGAATCATTAATGTTATAATTTTATTGCAGAAACAATTTTTTTAATAAGATCCTGCAATTCTGTTGGTTGTTTCACACCACACTTATGTTTATTTATAATACTATTTAATGCACATATGTATTGGAATATACTTTTTTTGTTTATATTGCGAAGCATAAAACCTAAAAATACATGAAGTGATAAACGGTGTTAAAAAAATAATGAAGAAATGTAAGAGGGAGAGTTTAAAATAGTTTTGATTTGACATACAACTGGGCTATATTAGCATAGTCAAAATGTGTTTGAGCCATGTCTAAGATGGCATTGAACAACTTCTTAGAAAATAGTGGGACATGCCAATGGTATGGCTATACATGGTATCCTATAATTTTCTAATGTTGTGCTTTATATTTTGCAGCAATACTTCTTCTAATCAATTTTGATTTTGTGTTTTATTGATTTTGGTTTTCCATTTTGTTTCTGATAAAGCCTTTATTTATTATCAGGGTGGTAAAAAGGTTGTTTGTGGATCTCAAAATGGGCCATTGCTACTGTACTCTTGGGGCCATTTTGAGGATTGTAGGTATGCATTAAGCTCTGGTCAAACTCTAAGTAATTTCTAGTGGCAACTTATATATCTAGCAATTATTGATTTAAGTTTATAATTCCTTTTAATTTGTCCTATATTCATATATAACTTTTTTTGAAAGATCTAAGCTGCGTGTGTTTTTGTTTGCCTAGGCCTTGCACGACTTGCAATTTATTTAGTTTGAGTTGTTAGACTGAATTTAAAGCTTCATTTGGTAATGTCTTTTATTTACTTTATTTTTCAAAATTCTGTTGATGTTTCATAATTTTAATTTACGGGGAAACATGTGATGAAATATTTTATATTTCATTTGCACTTCTCTATGGCTTCAATAAACTATGTACGTTTCACCAATGTTTAAAATGGCGAAATCGGGAATCGAGGCGTTCTTCCTTAGCCGAGGTGAGGCATAAGCTTCGAGGTGGATCGAGGCGTAAGCCTCAAAATAGAGAAATAAAAACACACGAACTTACAAATAATTCATTAAAAATGACAAAAGTAAAATAAAACATCACATATTTATTTGATTCACCATTATATAGATATAAACTACAATTCCCAATATTAATGTTATTATAAAATAAAAATTTGAAATGAGATTCAAAATAAACACTCATTTAAACTTAAATACATCATAAATATTATAATCCATGGCAATCTCATTCTTACTTTCATATTCTTCATAGTAGCCCTCGTATGGAATAATTATATCATCATCGAATTCTAACCCATTATCATCTTCTAAATATTCTTCAATTATAACATTTATTTTAACTCCCCATATTAATTAACATCAGATTCAATGTAATATAAATTTTCATTCTTCTCATCATCAAATGCATGCCTCTATTTTCAATTTTAAATATTTTATTATTTTTTAGTATTATCCATTCATCATTAGAAAATATATTCTAAAAAATCAAATGACTTATTTTATCATCAGTTATTCGTCTCTATAATTTGAAGTGTTTCTCTTTTTTTTTATTAAATATAACACAACCATTCAACTTTGTTCATTTGTCTATAGCTAATTTGTTCATTCTCTTTGTATTATAGAATAAAGTATATATAATAATAATAATAATAATAATAATAATAATAATAAAATTATAAAACTTAACTATAACGAGGCGTTGCCTCGAGGTGTGAGCCTCATTTAAAAAAAGCATGAGTCTCACTGGCACCAGCGAGGCTTAAGCTCGAGGCACTCATTGTGCGCCTCAATTTGAGGCGAGCCTCAAGGCGTGCTCCTCGAACGATTTTTTAAACCATGCGTTGCACTTACATAGCAGCTCATCAATCCTCTAAGAGTTTAACAGTGACAAAGTATCAATGACATGAGTAGAGTGATGAAAAACACAGCACAGCATTACCAAACAAAACCTTGGGCTTTATGTGACACGGTGATATGCAAAAGTGATTAATGCACAATAAATGAAGGATAATATAGAAATGGTTAGCATTCTCACAAGCTTTAATGTAGGTATGGGGCGCAGTAAATCACGAGTTCAATGTTGAAGGCCTATTTGGCTGTGATAAACAACACATTACAAGGATATGATGCTGCAATAAAAAAAGGGACTCAATTAAGGCCACATTCTTTGGTAAAGCCGAATTGCTATTCAACTCAACAATTACTGACAATTTTTTCACATTGCTTTAGCCCTATTATAAAGGAAATTAAAGTTTTATCAAGAGAATTTAAAAAAGAAATAAACTATGTTAATGTTAGGAGCATATCTTACTAAGTCAGATGGTAGTCAAAGTATGTACACCCAAGAAAATTTGATATTTGGCCTTTAGTTGGTATGTGTGGTTCTTCTGACTTAGCAGATTGGACTGGAGCTTGACCAAATGATGTTGAAACCAGCTAGCTCTTCGACTATGTAAAGAAAAAATTATGCTTCTTCTATCCTTTAATTGAAGTGGGGAGGAGCAAGGGCTTGAACTTCATTTTTTATGATGAGATGGGAAGATGTAAATACCATTCTTCCTCACTGAGAAACCATGAAAGAATTGATTTCTAGATGAAGGTATCCTATTCACTTTCGTAATTGAGCCATATCGTTAGAATCGAAGTTTGGGAAACTTTGAGCTTGAGAGATAGTTTAGTTGTCAATAACAAGAGGAAGTCGGAGAACAGAGCCACTTTTGACATGGCTAGTTTGAAGAAAATCTCATCTTTGAGAGATGAACTAGGATGCTAAATAGTTTTCTAACAACATTAGGTTCTCTCCTAGCTAAAACACTTGTCTTCATTTCAGTAGATATGAAGTGAGAGGTGAAGTTTGTTATGTCATACTCCTCCACATTTATAATCAAGAGCAGTAAGACCCTGGTTGAGAAGAGAACCTACATAAATTTTTAGGAAGTCGGAAATGGTCTGCTCCTACCCTACAAAAGCATTAATGAGTGGACTAGATGAGCAAAATAGTGTACCCTCGTGCCTAAAATAGTTGAAGAGAGACCGTTTCAATTTTTTGAAACCCAATGGATACTCCTTTGCGCCATCACAAACGTTAAATTTTATTAAATTAACCAATGACATAATTGTCTCATTTAAGGAAATTTGAAATCATTGCTCATCATAAAAACAATTATTAGATCCACTCAAGTTAAAATTGAACCAAATAGTTATTCATATGCAAAAACTCTTGAAAGTAGGAGCTTAGAAAGCACTACAGCGTATTATGTGTAGTTTCCTGATTGAGTCCTAGAATCATGAACATTGCAAATTACTTAGACTTAGGATTGACGATCTCTTGAGAAAAGATGGCTTATATTAACATGGTGAACATGGTGAGGTGTGGTGTTTTGAGTATTTGGAGTGAATGCTAGAGATATGGGAATTGATGTCTACATTAAACTCACAAAGTCAAATCACTTATTCTTTTTGTACCTATTTTTTTGACAAGCAACTTCATGTCATGCAATAGGCTTAATATTTAATCTTACCACTATAGATAAGCTGGATCCCACAACAACTACAACATCAACATCCAGCCTTTATCCCACTGTGGGGTAGGCTAAGCTGGATCCTATTTTATTAACATTCATTCTACCTAGGTTTAGGGAAATGTTTGGAAGTCTTATTACAACTACAAACTTAATTTTTCTCTCATTATGTGTTTATGTTATGTGCAGTGATCGTCTTCTTGGGCACCCTATGTCCGTCGATACATTATTGAAGGTACATGAAAGATGCCTTTTATTTCTTCATAATGATAGATTTAGTTGAATATTCCTCATGCAGGAAGCCTTATAATTCATCTCGACTATTTTAGCTTGACGAAGATACTCTTATTTCTGGGTCAGAAGATGGAGTTATAAGGTTTGCATTTAAACTGTTGAACTATTATACATTTTAATTATTTTTTCTCACCTATAGCCGTTAGTAATTATTTTGCACTTTTTTCTTAGATTGGTGGGCATATTGCCAAACAGAATTATTCAACCCCTTGCAGAACACTCAGAATATCCAATTGAAGGCCTTGGTAAATTTATAATGTCTTGCATCATTGTAGAAAAAATAGCAAGGTAGCATAGTTGATTATTTTATTTTATTTTTGTTGCCAGCCTTTTCCTATGACAGAAAATTTCTCGGCAGCATATCACATGATCAAATGTTAAAGGTGAGAATAAAAGAGGTTGATTTTTTTTTTTTAGGTTGATTTGATTTTACATGTATAATCAAATTTATTAAAATGTGATGGAACATATCTTGGTGGGGTGTTATGATTTGGCAAGTTGTGTAGCACTCATTGACGCTCATTTTACTCACAACTCTGATATACCAAGACATTGTCAAACATTTCAACAATTAGCATAATATTTTTAAAATTGTTAAGAAATGTTTTGACGTCTCTGATTCACCCTTAAAACATAGCATATATATAGTTGGTTATTGACAATACTAGGTCTCCTAGCTTTCCTTATTCTCTATTGTTTTTATTATTATTCATTTTCATTATTTTTGACTAATATCTTTGTATTCAATTTCACAAGGTTTTGATTCTTATAGTGATGGCAATTTCAATTTTGATTGTGTTAATTTATTTTAAATTAGTTTTAGGCATTTGGTTTTAGTTTTAAGTTCTATCTTAATTGTTGATGTCACATTCTTTTGCTGCTTTTTCTATGTTTTATGTTCTCCTTTTCATCCATTTTGAGATATCATCTTATATCCTTAGTTAATAACGATATAACTTGAACTTTGATTCCATTATATGTGATGTTGATCCTCCCACTTACAAGATTGCATTTCATCCCTACATTTATCTTCAAAGAGATCGGAGACATGTTGCCAGATTGATTCAATTTAGTCAAATTGGTGTTTGATGCCAAGCTCAATCACTCAAGGTTCTGTTGACAACAAGAATTGTAATTCACTAAGCTGAAGTTTAGCCTTATTGGCTTTGCTGCATCATTGCTCCACTCTGCTATGATTAACTTGCCTAAACTATCCATTAGAGAGGGCTTGGCATTATTCAGTCAATTCTTTAATCTTAAAGCCTACCCATTCCACTCAGATCAAATGGGTCATCATGATGCCTATGGAGTCACCTTGAGTCAAATAGAAGCAAAATAAGCATACAAAAGTTGGCTAAAAGGAATCCAATACTTAGGTTGATTGTATTTGAGTCTTTCCATCCCTTTAAATTACAGAAGTGCCCCTCATCCAAAAATTCTTGGACTAACACTTCGAATTTGGGATCACTATGAATTCAACAGAGAAGATGGCAGAGTTGCTTGAGAAGGAAATAAGTACATCAATAATACCAAATTTGGTCATTCAAGCTATAGATTGATTTGTCAAGATGAGTCGGCTTCAATTTATAGATGTATCTGAATGCTATGTGTCTAGGTTTATGTTCTAAGTAGTCAAGATAGAATCTCTTATTGGCACTATAGTCCAATTTCCTTGTTGAATCTTACATCCACTCGTTTTATAGTGCTAGCTATTACAAGAGCATGTCAACCACCTAGTTGAGTTGACCAAGCACTGTGTGAGAGAAGATGAAAGTCAAAGAGGTTGGGTGACATAGAAAACTTAAAATAAATGAGCAAGAAAGGTATTCGATTTGATAAGAAATATACTTGGACGATTTATAGATAATGCCAAATCGCCATAAATAGAATTTTACACAAAGTACTTACAAAACGCTCATTATTACAGGAAAAAGCCAACTGATCGACCATATAAAACATAGAAATAATTGCTTAAGGTTGGTCAACTAAGCCTAGCCTCTTCTCTATGCACCTTGCTCATGTTCTTCCCATTACATAATTGTAAAATATCTGCAGAGATGATAAGAACTCATTGGAAGATGCGTAACAACAAAATTAGTAGATTCACAGGAAAATCTATCAAAGGGACCAAGGTAGGCTCAAATAATTAACAAGTATGTCTAGTCGACTTGTCATAAAACTACTCAGCAACAAGTCTATTGATTAGATTCCTTGCACGACTAGTTAAGCAATCCTACACATACAGCCTATCTTTATTTAGAAATTTATGATTCTATTATTTACTAAATAAGCATCTTATCAAGATCACATAACATCAACAAGGTTGAAGAAGACAAGGGTGCAATTTCAAAGATCACATAACATTGATAGTGAGCATCAATGCCAAATATCACACAATGTTGGCTATAAATTAATGCTGCATATCACATTGGTGATATTATGTCGTAGAGGTCTGTGCCACACCTGCTTCCACTTTAATGGATATATTATCAGTCCATTCGCACACTCATATAGGAATCAATAATTATTAATGCTAGTGCAAGGGATTCATGAAAATGAGAGTGATCTATTTTGCATCTATTCATACCATTTTGTTGTTCATGCCCATGCCAAAGGTAACAAAACCATGGAAAGTTCATACCATTTATGCAAAGATAGATTGCCAAAGATGAGTTGAGGATCTCCTACTTGACATATGCATGAAATACTAAAGTTTGATTTCTATCTAAGCACTCTCTTGTTCGTTTCATTGGAGATCTCTTGCTCACTTTGATAATGTATCCCTAACTTGTGGCTATTAGGGCATCTAATTTTCTATAGAAAGCATGAGTAAGGAATCAAGGGCTGTTTGATTGTTTGTTTGATATTCGACTAGCATGCAAGATAGCGGATAATGTTTCCTAGTCGTCAGGACAGAACTGACACCTTATGGGCTATTTTTAACAATAATTTGCATATTCTTAGTTTAAGTTACAAACAAGAGGGGATCATTGAATATTCTTTTTCATTTGTTGAAAGTAAAAAACCTAGTTGTTATTGTTTCTACTCGGCTAGGTTTCCCGAGCTATCTTGAATGGATTTCCATCGCCTAGCACAAATGCCGCTGTCAAAATTTATCCAAAATAACTTGTCACTCTTCAATTCTGCTCAATTAGGCTCATAACTTGGTCCATTGGCTTTGCAAGGTGACCCTTTACCCAATCTACTTGGTTATCTTTAAATTGAGTTGGCTATGGTTCTAAACAATTGTTCTACTGAGTTAATCAGTCCAATTTATGTTGGATCACAAGGGGGTTCTATGTAGAAAGATTCTAGGCGGTTACATTTTCCATTCCTTTAGGAAATTTTGTTATATAAATCCAAACTATTATTTTGAATAGTTGAGGAGATTTCTTCCTCATGCCTACTTAAATTACGATGTTGCCTTCAAGTTGGTCTGGTTTTTCCATAACACTTCGTCCGTTAGAATTCCTTGCTATGTGGTTGTTTTTGTCATGCTGATATCTTATATAATACTTCATAAATCAAGTCATGCATCTTGTTCAAGTTAACTACAAGTAAACGCGTTGGTTTGTAACATAATGCTTAAGCATGAAAATGTGAAATAAATTATGCACTCGATTTAAAAGTGGTGGTAAGAGAAGTTGATATTGCAAATTTGCAACTACTCAATATTTCACATGTTCTTAAAAGACGTGGCTTAAGTTTTTCACTTGGTTGGAATGCTCAATTCCTTTCATGTACCTAGCGAACTATTAATCTCCAGTTTCTTATTGGGCATAACCATGCTTTGTATCGAGGCATTTGTATTAACTATCCTATACTATCTGAAGTCATTATTTAGTCGTCTTTATCTTTTCGATAGTTTCTTCGGTCAACTTTGCTCCAAAGTTTGTCGGTACCAACATAGAGGTGATCAATATTTACTCTCACATAATGCTTTATATTGTGTCATGTCAATGCTAGCTTGGTAATTGTTATATGCAAATTTAATCAATGATATTTAGCTCCTAGCTTCCCCCAATAATTGAAATAATGGTTGAATCTTGGGTGAAACATGCATTGAAGGTGGAACTTAAGTAAGAACAAAATTGCTAGAAGGTGAAATTTTCTAGAGCTTGGCTATTGTTATGATGAACACTCTCTCTTATGTCTCTCCTTAAACAACAATGTTTGTTCGAGCCTTACATACTATAGAGGTTGTCAATGCATTACTCCTATCTTGATGAGAGGTACTCTGTCAGCCCCTCCACAAACTTTGCAGCACATTCCATTAGTGGAGGCAAAGATGGTGCTAGTACAGGCGCCAAAGTTGACATTGTGATGATCCATCAATTCTATTTGCCTCTTTATGGGAACGACCTTTTTCATAGGTAAGGGTTTGATAGATCTTAGTGAATCAAAGTAGAAAGATGAGAAAATGTTCTTGCTATAGCTTAAACATGAAAATGTGTTTTATCCATGATTTCTAGATCTATCATCACTTCGATTCATCATGTCAAGGACATGCATAGCCAATATTAGGGACGTTCCTGTCATTGCCTGTGGAGCTTATCTTGACGTTTATGGCATTCTTTGAGTGTCGAAGAAGGTTTGAATCATCTTTATGATGCCTAATGTGTCATTTCTTCTAGCCCTTATCTAGTTTCTGACGGATGAGTTACTTGTTCTCATTTGATCCATGTCGAACATTTGAGCTTTGCAAGGAGTTTGGTTGGGTTATATGGCTGACCAACTTCTACTATGAGCCCTATATGTACATTCACTTAAAAAAATCTTTTGAATTTTCTCTGAAATGCTACTTGGGCATCTGTTCAAGAGTTTTAGTTAAGTATTCATTTGGATTGCATCCCGTCGAGCGAAGTAATGGTCGAGATCATGGTTTCAACTATTCAGCTCAGATCTTTTCTTAGGAGATGGTTTGATTTTGCTGCCCCCATTGAACATGTTGCTTATGTTCACTTGGTGTATGGAAATATTATGATAAAAATTTATGGAAATAAAAAACGAACTTGTATTGTAGGCGTTGTTACTATTTACATGTATGTTTATTTTTTTTGTTGATGTTTTGTTGCGGGTGAAGGAAGATTTATTTGTTGTTTGTTGGTTTAAGAGAGTTGTTTACAAGGCGGGTAACTGAGATTGGTCATGAACGGTAAAAGAGAGCGGAGTGCAAGGAAAGTAAGCCTGCAAGAAAAAAACTTGAGAGCTTATATTGATATTTTTGAGCGATTTTCACCAATTTGAGCCATCTTTAGTTTGCTGAATAATTGAAAGAAAAATCTTTCTTTTGAGCGTTGATTTTTTCAGTTTGTGCTTCTGCTTATGTAGTTGTGGGACGTTGAAGAGCTTTTGAATAATAATCAAACCGAGCCAAACATCAAGCAAGTTGAAGCTGATAGTGAGGATAGTGATGACATGGACATGGATCTTATTCCATGCCAGCCTGCAAAAGGTACGCCAATCTATATCCTTGGAGCTAGCAGCAGGTTTTCTTTTAGTCAATCAAAGTGCCACTTTTTTTGACCTATTCTGCTGAATTAATATGCGAGTAATAAAAGTTTTAAAAACCTCTAAGTACATATAAAAGCCAGTTATCCAAGATCATATATTCTATTTTAATTTTGATTTTAGTATTATTTTCAGTCAATTTTGGTTATTTTTTACTACTTTATATATATATATATATATATATATATATATATATATTGAAGCAAATAAAATTTTATTGAAATGGGATGAAAAGCAGGCTGTCTCCCCTAACACTTCAGTGCATGCCAGAGTCCCATATTTTGGTCTGTTCTTGTATGTGCAAATACAACCAGCTAAACAGCCCTCTGGGACAGGAGAAATTATTCTGTGTGGACACCGAACGCCATTCGGAGACCTACCAGAAAGAGCCAAGTCGGTACCGCAGCTCGGTACTGCTTGGTACCGCGGCTCAGTATTGCTGATATGGCTCATTTTGGTTGGTCTCCGGATGTAGAGCCGCGTTCGGCGCCCGCACAGAATAATTTATCTTGGGATAGATTGGTGAGGCGATTGCTTTATACAACCAGTTTTTGCTAAAACCGTTCGGATTCAGCTGAAATGGAGGACCAAAAGCTGAAACAAAAGTTTTTTTTTTTGCTCTGTGAACTGATTATACCCTTATGTTCTGCATATTTGACAGGCTCTACTAGAATGGATGGCAATAGCCGGTATTCAACTGCAAATTTCTTTGCAGACCTATAGCTGAGGACATTTGCCATCAAAACACTACATTTTTACGTGTGATGGAAAATTTTGCCATGAGATAGTAGGACTGGTTTACTTTTTGGTACGGATATTGTTTTATTTTTCAACACGATTGCACAATTTTGTCAGTCACCCGGTATTTAATTTGGTATTAAGCATGTAGCTGCTAATATATTTGTCCAAAAGCGTCCGTTATTTTAGATTATTCATTTCCTAAAAAATTATTGCATTAAGACAGTTCTTTTCTTTTTTTGAATTTGATAATCTTGTTGTAATTAAACTTCCTATATCGATGAAGTCACTCATACAAAATGTGCTGAAACTTGTCATGTCTTACAATCTATAAATTGGTTTCACTGCTGTCTTTTCATCTTCTTGATGATGATTATCTCATTATTTGCAGCTACCTAATGAATTAGCATGGCAAAGTAAAGTTGCAGAATTGGAAAAATTAACTGTCAGCGAACTCTTAAAAGTTGACAGAGGTAGTAAGTTTTGAAAACTACCTTAACCTTCATCCAATATTATTAGGACTAATCTACATTATGTGATCTATGATGCCACCTACAAAGCTTACATAGCTTAGAACATAAATAATTTTTTATAAGATGTAAGACATACCGTTAGACTTCCCAACCTCCTATGATTAGCATGTAAGTCTTTCTATGAGCATCTTCTCAGGGGGTCAAAGAGTAGTCTCACACATCTCTATTACTTGCATTAGAAGGCACTTATCATGGATGTTATTGTAACTTCCACTCTCATGTTTTGGAGCTACTATTCTATGCGTGCGCCGGACGGGAGAACTGTCCGGTTAAGCGTTGGGTACCCAGCGGTACCGATTGCAGGTACCGAGCTGGGTACCCAACAATGGGGTGACATGTGCAATTTTATTGGTCTCCAGACGCCCTTCGGACTCCGCACAGAATAATAAATCCATGTTTTGGGTACTCACATTTGAATTAGTAAGGTAATCACCATATATGGTATTGTAACTCCAACTCCCACTTTTGTTAGTCATAAAAGCTTATACCTACCTTGGGTATTATGAGTTTAGCTTGAGCATTCTCTCTCTAGTTTTTGAGGTGTTGTAAACACCCTCTTTCAATCTTTTTGGGATACTTAACTACTCATTAAAATATTAGTCCTAATTTTGGGTTCCTCCTTAAAGAGTCAAGAGCTGCATGACTTAATTTCTTTTATAAGATAGAACTCATCTCCCATGATACATATGGCTTCTCTCTCTGTGCACAATCTATTAGACTGTACTATGTTTGATTCTCTGATAATCTGCATTCAGCTTATGCTTTAAAGTATGAAATATTTTTGTAATGTGCCTCTGGAATAAGTATATAGTTATACATGTTCTTACCTGATCTGATCCAGGATAATCAACCTCATTTCTGCATTTAATCCTTCTGATTGTGTATGGGAATGTTTTGCATGTATGTGAAAGTCTGCATGTGTTCTAATGTGAGTCATGGGGAATGTGTTTGCGTTATGAAAATTCTAAAAAATTTCCCCAGGGTCGCCACAACGCTGGGATAGGTGGTGCCGCGACACTAAGGAATTCGGAATTTGACAAATTAATTCAATGCCGCGGCATTGAGGGTGGCGTTGCGGCACTGAGGGCTCCTAGTGGGAGGAATGTGGCACGCATGGTTGGGCGTCACGACGCTCGACCAAATTTTAATATTAAAAATACTATTTTCTGCTATTCAAAGTCATTTCGCCTTTAAGACAGCCGGCTAGAGAGAAAAAATTAATTTTGGGTGACTTCGTTCTTTTTTTTAACTAACCACCTTGCTCTAAAAGTTGTCTGGTTCGAGGTAAATTGCATTTTGGAAAGTGTGCTATTTAATTGTCTGAAAAATATTTCAGACTCCAAAAATTAAAGATGTGGTACGATTAAAGCTTTGTACCACATCGTTGCCTCCTGTATTACCACATGATGCTTTGAATTGAGCCATGTGTTGTTTTGATTCTATTATTGTACACTAAATTTACCAATTAATATATAAATCATATAAGTTATTATTAGGACTATGCATCTAGTTTAAGAGGGCCATGGGTTTTTAAACTGAATGATCAGACTTACCATCTATTTCTTTATTATACAATCAATACGTATAATAAAAAAATAAAAAATCTAAAACTACTCTCATAAATTCCTCTAAGTAATGGCCTGTTTTCCTTGAATTGCTGAGATGATGCATCTACCAATCTAATTCGAGTAGGGACAAATGGGCCATCTTATGGGGAGGGCCCATTTGGTCAATTTTAGGTGAAAGAAGGCTTCGATCTTGTCCGCCTTTCATTTCCAAAATCAATGAAAATTTGAACAAGGTGTGAATAAAGTAATCTTCTCAAAATTAAGAATTAATTTCTAATTAATTTCATTAGGATAATTCTCTATAATTCTTGAAGCTTTGAAAAAGGTTTTTGGACCTTCACGTGGGGGTGCAAATGAGTCGAGTTGAGTTTGAGTCATGCTTAACTTGAGCTCGGCTCATCGGCCAGATCGTGATCTCAAACTTAAGCTTGAGCTCGACTTGAGCTCAAATGACTTTCTCGAGCTTGGCTCGAAGCGATGGGTGTGAACTCACGAGGCTTAAGGCTCTCTTCTCACTTTGATCCCGCTTCTGCTTTCCCGGTTCCATGCGATTGCACCCAAGCTTCCGTTTATTCCCTTATTTGAGCCGCTCGACGAGTAATTGAGCCGAGCTTCATCTCAATTGAACTTTAGCTCCATAATCAAACGAGCTTGAAAATCTGCTCGAGCTCGAAGCTCAATAAGCTTGGCTCGCGAGCTCATTAACAAGTTTAGTTCGAGTAGGCTCGTGAGTCGGCTTGACTTGTTTGAACCCCTAATAGTATGCCTTGAGATGTAAGTGATAGATGTGTCACACAACTATCAATTATTAAAGTATATATAAGTAAATATAAGTGAGTTACAAGAATCAATTTTCATAGTGGAAGAAGAATAATTCATAGTGGAAATGTATAATGAATTATCTTCTAGAATATGATGTACCAATTCGATGATTGTTATTTTCAATTTTTAATAAAAAACAAAATGAATTACTTCCTCGTGCCTAAAATTTGTACTAAAGCAAACATGTGGCCGACAACACATTTGATAGCAACATAATCACATTAATATATGAATGACCCTTAATCTTAATTAACATAGTAGATCATTATCTTTAGTAGATTTTTAATTGAATGCCTTCTTCTATATAAATAAAAATAAAGTTGGTCGTGCTTGTAACTTCATAATATTGATGAACAAAAGATAGGTAATAATTTCATTATGCCAAATTAGCTCAAGCCAAAAAAATTATTTGAGTCTTGTTTTACATTCAAATTCTTTTAGAAGAAGCTTTTCATGCGAGGAAAAATCAATTAAGTTTTTATTATTTTTTTTTTTGACAACTTTTTTACCGCTTTCTAAAGCGGTTTTTCAGTTCAAAATTTTTTATTAGAAAGCTGTTTGGGAAAGCAGTAAGAAAGTTGTCCCAAATGAGGTTAATTATTTGGTGTGGATGTTGAACGTCGTTTGGAGACCAACCAGAATGCGCCACGTCATCCTTGCTCGGTACCGCACTCGGTACTACTCGGTATTGTTGTTGTGGCGCATTCTGGTTAGTCTCCGGACGGTGTTCTGCGTCTGCTCTCCGCACATAATAAATTCTCCCAAAATGAAGCCAAATGCTTCGTCTGAGATTGCTTTTGGCCACTTTTTTTTCTGCTTTTATGAAATTTTGATAATAAAAAATTGCTTTAGAAAACAATAAAAAACTATCCCAAATATAAATCTAAAAATAATATTTGCAAACAAATTTAGTAGTGGTTATTTTTTATCAAAGAAAATTCATCTTTTGCTAAAATATATGACAACATTATACGCCTTCATGACTTAGACCAAAATTATTTGAATTTAATTTTAGTGTGACCCTAATTTTAATAGAGCTAATAAAATTTTTAAAAGAGTAATATAAATCTCAAAAGTAGCAAATGTATTACATGCTAATATCAAAAGTCAAGAAAATGTGAGGTATTTTAATTATTTGATAATAATTCTCATAAGAAAGAGAAAAGTAAACACCTATATCAAACATCTAATATAAATCACAAAAATTTAAATCAACTTGTAATATTGCAAAGTCATGCAATTTAATCATTACAAAATTTTTTGTTTTGCAATTCATATCATACATAAAATTGTATTTTATGCGCAAAATGCAAAATTTACAACATTTGATAATTCAAATGCAAATAAATATTACACATTTTGTTTAAATACTAATAGTAATGTTATCAGATGATATCTGAAGGGGTGCTCTAGGGTTCCTTCCTCCTAGCGTCGCCCTCTGCTGCTGACCTCTTTTCTGCCTTCTCCTCCTCCGGCTTGGCCGGAGGACTTCTTCCTTTTCTCGTTCTTTCTATGGCAGATTTCCCCTGTTCTTCTGAGTTTCCTCCTCTCGGCTCCTCGTCTGGAGGAGTGGCTCAAGTTTCGCCTAGGAACTGGAATCAAGTGTTTGCTCCGGATGCTTCAGCTCCTAAAGCTTTCCATTTTACTCACCACCCGTCGGAACCAGAGATCATTCCCTTCTCAGGTGATAGGTTGAGTAAAGGGGGTGAAGACTGGAAGCTATGTCTTATTGGTTATTCGATAGGTCGCCGACCTTTTTATGAGGCCTTGTTGGGAGCTATTAATAAAACCTGGAGCTTAAAGGGATCGTTGCAGCTTCTATCCCTAAATGAGGGGTTTTTTCTTCTCAGATTCTCCTGCCAAGAAGACCTAGATATGGCGTGGTCGCGTGGAGTTTGGTTTCTTCTTGGCAAGCCATTCGTCCTCCAAAAGTGGCACCCAAAGTTCAAGCCTGTAAAAGAAGAGTTTTCCTCTGTTCCTATTTGGGTGAAAATCCACGACCTCCCGCTTGCATGCTGGAATTCCGAGGGTATTTCTCGCATAGCCAGCAAAACTGGTATTCCTTTGGCCGCGGATAAGCTGACGGAGCAGAAGACTAGGCTTACATTCGCTCGTGTATGTGTTCTTGTTGACAATCTTGCTACTTACCCAGAGGAAATTCGTGTTTCCTTGGATGGTGATGTGGTCACCCTGAAAGTGCAGTATGAATGGCGTCCAAATCCCTGCGAGCACTGTAAGTCTTTAATGCACGATTCTTACATATGCCCGACAAAACCGAAAATTCCATCTAAAGCTCAGGATGGAGTTAATAATGGGAGGAGAGGAAGGAGTTACAGCAGGAAGCCCCACCATAAACACTTCCAGTAATATGAATCATTCCAGACCTCCGCCCTCTAAAACTCACTCAGAACCACAAAACTCTGGTTATTTAAGTC